GCTTTAAATCGCAAAGATTTGAGGGAGATTTTGTTTCCAGTGTATGGTAATCGCGGAACCCTAAGACCTCAAAGTAAATACCTAGTCTGTTGATTTTTATTGCGAAAAGTGACTCGTTGTGATGAAAGTTGGTTTCAAAAGATCTACAGCTATTGACATCATAAACGAATATTTCTCAAGTCTTTAAAGCACTTTATAGGTCATATAAATATAAATAAATATCTGTTACACACATATGAAAGCAATTAGATAAATTTTATTGGTTATATAAATAAAATATTACATTATTTGACTTTGATCTATACGAGAAGACGTGAATGTATGTGGGTATTAAAAGAGGAAATCCTGTCTTCACCTTCTATACAAACACCTTTTACGGCGACATCTTAATAGATGTTTTTATTTTCCACTGTCACAATCGTAGATGGTCACAACATACTTTCACGACATCAAAGTAAATTGATCGAAATTGAACAGGCCGTGAAAAAGGTGGAAAAAAAGTCGTGGTAGCCTATGGTTTGGTCTACCGCCTTTTAAGCAGAGGCCGTGGGTTCGAATCCGGGTTCGCACCTCTGAGTTTTAGGAGTTTAATTTGAAATTTACCATGAGCTTTTTGGTGAAGAAAAACGTCGCGAGGAAACTTGCACGTCGAAAAAGATTCACGACTCTCGGAAAACGTGTCAAGTTCCCAATACGCATTGAGCTAGCATAGCGGACTATGGCCTAAACCCTCGCTTGAAAGGAGACCCGTGCCCAGCAGAGGGACGTATAAATGGGTTGATGATGATGAATTGAAAAGCTCTTACGATAGCAAATTTTTTTTACCACGTGATAGGACGAACAAGCGAGTACGCCTGTCCATAACAGTTCTATTGCCACTCGGAGCCTTTAATTGTAAATGTCTAAGGAGGACTGCACCCGTCACCCTGAGACATAAAATGACAAGTCCCAAGTACCTGAACGCAGTAAGGCTCACATTTCTTACTACTTGGCGGCAGAAATAGGCAAGAAGGCAGTCCTTCCCTGGACGAACTAAATTAAATTCTTTAATAGCATTTTTCAGCAGACTGCATCATTGTATCGTTACAATCCTCTTTTTGAATTTTGCTAGTCCGGGGTTCGGAATCCATTCGGAATTGACGGGAGAGCAGGATATTTGGTTATTTATATATTTTGATGGTGGTTAAAAATAAGGAAGTAACTAACGCTGTGAATTAATACCAAAGACCTAGATCTTGTGAATTCTTACCTCCAAAGTGTTTATTTTTATTGCTTTTAACGTTAAATATTTCCATTCAGACGGTGATAGAGGCAAGGTATTTCAGTAGCGTGTGACCTTCAGCTTCAGCTAGCCAGTATTAATACTGTAGGTATCAAATGAGTCGGTTGTATTGATTGATTTACTATTACCCGACGACGGATAATTTGGGCGTGTTATTAATTATTTCACTATAAAAATGCCATAAAACACCCACATACATCCATGAAGGATGTCTAGTGTTATGATTATAACTTAATTATAATAACCGTGTAGTCTGTTTTTGTTTTCTTTTAAACTAAAGAGAGAAACAGAAAAAAAATGCAATAGCGTCTGATACCTTTTGTAATTATAGTTATTATCAATATGATATTGTAAAGTACGCCCTTGATAGTGCACAGTTTGTAAAAACCTGATCGAACGTTTTAACAATCGTGACTTGCATATTTTTATAACTTCTAAACCGCCTAATATGTTACCACGTGAAGTTCGTATTTACGTTCTCATTTCACGTCTATGTTGTATTTTGTACTTTGGTATCTGTACTTGTGTGCTACTTGATTCAAATGAATTATATTATTTATGCTCACTAATTTATACAATTATTGTTATACAATACAATTTGTTGTTTGTTTCAATTCGATTAGATTCGATTCCAGTACGTTTTTTCTATCCTCACACTTACTTAAAAGACATGTTTGAAGGGACCATCTGTGAGTAAACACATTTATTTTATATCAGGAGGGTTCGTATTATTTTTTTCAATAAGTTACGACCATGAAAGACAAGCGCGCAATGATAATGCTTTAATAAATTACAAATAGTCGATGGAAAGCTTCATTGACTTGCTCGGTTTTTTTTTGTTGGCAAAAAATGTGATAACAGAAAGAAATGACACTCTTACAATAGTACAACACGTTATTTGAATAACTTGTTGATTAACGACATTGTTTTGCCTGGTATAGTCAACAGAGGTAGCGAACAGAACTCACGAAATGTAGGTCGTTAGCTCGTCATGAATACTATATATGTTATTAAAGTCTATTACCATAAAGTACAAAATACAAACGTAAGAAAAATAGTAGCAAAATTGAGTTTTTATAATGAACGCGTTTTGGGTTTTGCTCTTTACAACACGGTTGACGATAGAACGAAGGAAGACATTAAAAAGATACGACTTTCGTGGGCCTGGTAACCCAAAGGACTCTCATTTTTTACAGTTATAGCATATTGTCCTTGACAAAGAATGTTGTCGTTCCTTCATCGATCTTTATAGCTGTAACGAATTTTGATAAGTTGATAATTTAACATGATGTATTCATCACTATTCCGTTCGCAATTTTTGCTTTACCCATAGTTTCAGCATAAAAGTTCTAGTTTAACTTGTACCGTAAAGGTATAGAATACACTACCGACATCTGTGCTTCCCTTAAAGTTACAATTTGGGGCTCATAGCTGGAGTTCTTTAAACAAATGCATAAATTAGTCGGTAATATTGTATCTCATCATCAGGTGAGATTGTAGACAAGTGTGTGTTTTATATTTTGGCGTTCACGTTAATGCATTCGCACATGCATACTAAAATTGACGTGAATCTTAATCTCTGTTTTTATGGCTACAAGATGTGATCTGAGGCTAGACTACTTGATAGTAACAAGATATTCTTGTGTACAGATGAACTTTGTAACTAACATTTTCTGGTAAAATGAAAATATACAAGTTAGGATACGTGTTTTGAAACAGTTTTAGTTGAGAAATCGTGACGTCACGAAGCTTGTAATAATCAATGATATTTGAGTAGGTATGTGTGGCGTGACGTCAAATAGCGCTACTGATGTCACCGTCCAACCTTTACAACCGGATGAATTGGCGCACTTTGGGGAAGGCCTTTGTTCAGCCGTGGACTGCAATAGGCTAATAAATGATGACGATGACCTTTACGTAGGTCAATAAATAAAAAACACTTTTTAATGGTATAAAGTCTACATACGTAAAGGTTTTAATGATATAAAGTGAGCCTCCCCGCACGACTTTCCTTTTCTTTCGCTGGAATGTTTTAAAACGTACTGACGTCTAACGCACCCTGGGCAACAATCGACGAGTACCCTACAGTCATTGGCAAATCCTTTCAACACGATGGCAAACATTATATTGTATGCTATAGATACGATACGAAGAAGAATGATATATAGTAGCGGGACGAACAAGTCGTCCGCTTAATGGTAAGACTGGTAAGCGACCCGCCTGTCCATAATAGTTGCAGTGCCATTCAAAACTTTAAATCGCAAAGATCCGAGAGGCGCCCACTGCGCCCATCGCGCTGAGACACAAAGTGGACAAATCCGATATGCCTGTAGTTTCACCTTTACCCGTCAAATCCGGGACGCACTAATGCTCAAATTATTGTTTAGTGATAGAAATAGGTATGGCGGCAGTACTTCCCTCGACGAAATCTTTTAAAAGAAGCTCTGTACTTCAATAGAATTGATTAATTAACAATATAAAATAATAAAAAATTTGAAAAGAATTGCGAAGTTGCGGTTCCGCGTTAAAGTTAATTTGAATCTGATTTTAAATATGTGGAGCAGAGTGTAATTATATGTGTAACAAAAGATTTGTACGTAGGACGAGCAGTAATCGGGTGTCGTGTCGAAACGCTAAATAATGGAATATACTCGTAAATGAAAGCAACGGTACAGTAACTCCGAGGAGTATAGAGTACAGGTTGTTTCGAAATATTTGATTGAATACCTCATAGCATTAAATGTTTCCATTGTAATCCCAGTTGTATTGTAGAAAAAAACAATTTATCGACCATTATTGACAGGGAAAGAAAGCTATTTGTTGGATCACGCCACATTTTTCCGCCTGAATCGTGTAGTCATCGACATAATTGTGGCCCATTACCCTGGAGACCTTGTACTGTTTTGATTCATATTATGGAGGTGATTTCGAAGGTTAGTTTTTCATTGATACATTTATATAAATGAATTTCGTTTAGTTTTTGTTCACTTACTCGTTTTTGTTTTCAGTGAACAAAGGATACGTTTTAAAAGGTTAACATTTGTCAATACAGAGGTATAAGATAAACTCTCTCTTAGAATCTTATCCGTTTATAGTAAACACCATTCCGTTTTATTTTAGTTTTCTTTTTTGCAGTTCGGTGCGCGTTCGGAAACTGACGTGTCCAATACGTAGTGAGAATTATTATAATTCGAGTTTCGCGCGGCATAGGCCGCTGCGCGTAAGTGGCAGTGGGTTACCAACAACTCATAGTAATCAGCTTTTGGCGTTTATCCAACACGCCGTCGATACCATGGACGAAGTCAGCATCGTGCAGATCTGTAAATCCAATTTCAACGAGGATGAGATTTGCAGTGGCAAGATGCTGTTGTTCGAGAGCCTCGGCAAAGCTGAGCAGATGTCATCTCGCCGGAGGGATGGAGGCGAGAACAGTCTCCAGGATGTGATTACACTCCTGAAGGAGACCGACCCGGACGACGTGCCTACATTTGTGGCGAAGGAGCTGCACAAACTTCCGTCACTTTCGACCACGTCGATCTTACCAGGCTGCTGAAGGATATCACTTCCCTGAAGTCAAGGCTGGCCGAGTTGGAGTGTAGATTGGAGGCTTCAGATAACACCATAATGAGTTGCATGCCCAAGTTGCGTTATTAAGCAACGCTATTTTGGTATGTTGGTCACCAGAAGTCTAATGCAAACACGCGTCGTGAGACGCAAAATGCATCCATCAGCAATGCCGAGTCGGCACAAGTGGTTGCGTCACAGATTGCTGGTGCCGTCTCGCGTGATGCGCCGCGCCCTGCTGCCCGCGCCTCCGCCCCGGCGCAAACGTCACGTGTATGCATGCTATCCCCTGCACGTGCATACGCCGATGAAGCCGCTTCTACCAGCCGATCCGCCACTTCGAAACTCGAGAGGCGGCAATCGGCTAAGAGTAAAAGTAATTCCCGTGTGCCTGTCTCCGAAGTTGCAAAACACAGAGGCAGACGGATCAATGCGACGAGGACGGCTTCACAAAGGTTGTGAAGAGGAAGAGGAAGCCCACCAGCCGTAACCTGTGTGGCACAGCACCGACAGGATCGAACTTTTTGCTCCATTCGGCAATACCGACGACGCTGCTGTACCTGTCGCGACTACATTACGATACGATAGTGGAGTACATCAGGCTAAAAGCCAAATACACCCAGTCGAGTGTCGAGCGGTTGCAGTCCCGCCACAACGTAAATTTTAATTCGTTTCGTGAAGGAAGAGTTTTGGCCGAAGGGTGTCATTTATCGGCGGTTCCGCGACCGGTTACCTGACACCTGATTGCGCCACACGTCGCCGAGAAGTGTAATATGTGTAGATTAGTTGTTTAGTTTTTGTCATTGTCATATTATGTTGTATGTATGTTAGTCCTTAAGGTATATATTATATGGGTCATGTGGCCTGAAATAAACGTCTAAATAAATAAAATAAATTTTCTTTGAACTGGATTTTGTTATGATTGGTCAATGTATCTTATTCTCGGTCGTCCTCGTCCACACCTGCTTTTCACGTTTTCTTTCATCTAGTTTGTAATCATATCATATAAGATGGAAACCAAATTACCTCCGACATACAGAGAAGTTAAATTACTTTTGCGCTAGTGCAGCGTTTTCCATTTCGTGCGTCGCGACCCGGTACTGGACTCTCAAAATAAAATACCAGGTCTCAACATTTCCGCCTGGTTCAAGTGGAACCAGACCTCAGGATAAAAGTTTCGTCATTTTCCGCGAACTTGGATTCTTTAGTAAAAAATAAGCAGCAGCTCTATACTTCGCACTAAATAGGCGATAACGAAATAAGCACTATTAATAAAACGTTTTTACTAACCATAAATGTGTATTATTGTACTTAATGTAACCAGCTTGCGTTTAAAAGTATTGAGTGGGTCACGAAGAAGCAGTATGAAAATTACCGGGTCATGGCAGAACAGTGTTTGGGAAACACTGCGCTAGTGTATGGGCATTTGACATCAGTGCTAGTATTTTAACACCCGATGCAAAAACAGCAGGGCTAGCACGATAAGGCGCGACTTGAGCGAGAGCGACATTAAGCGCTCGCATTAAGAGCTCTATGTCGCTCTCGAGCAAATCGCGCTCTATTGTGCTAGCCCTATTGGGGATTTATTAGTTTAAATGCTTTGTCCTTGTATTTGTGAGTCCCTGATACCTACCTTTTTTTTTGTATTTGTGTATACCTGATCTCCTGTCTCAAGGTCAATTTCATCGGGATGGTTCTCAGCTATGTTTAGTGAACATTTACTCAGCTGTTAAAGATCATCAGTTCTTTTCCCAATTAGTGAAAGGATTCAAGTCATAAAATATTTTTTTAGTTTACTTCCACTACGGGAATCCTCCTCAACCATTTACAGTAGGACACAATGGTCATTATCGCGTACATAATGGACAAGATTGCGTGGTTAGTATTTGCGAGGATATTATATTGTGATCTAAATTTTTGAAGTCAAAGTCAAATAATCTTTATTTCATAGGTACACAAAACACGACAGTGTTCGGGCTTATTAACGGCGACTTGTTAGAAAACAGATGGTGACTTTATTGACTTTTTATGTACACTGTTTGGAATCCTTGTTAGGAAAAAAGAACGTATTTAACTTATCGATGAACGTCAACATCATAGAATTGTTTAACGTGTATTATGGAAGGACAGTGATCCCATTAAAAGGGAATGTGAGTAGACTTATCGAATAGAGCTATATAATTGGAGTCTATAAACTCAACGTTTTCCCTGAGGGTACCATATCGGTTCGTTTACTAAGCATTAGTATTCACTCCATGGTTTGCTAAGTCTACTCAGTTTACTAAGAAGTCATTATTTCTTGTTAGTTTTTCTTTGGAATGACACAACATAAAGTTTTCATCTATTTCTCTTTATTACGTGAATATCCACATCGACATTAACGTTGAACATGATATTGAGCACATGCTCTTTCGACATGTTTCAGCGGGACAGATATAAAGACGAGTATGTAGTATCACGAGTGATATTACATACGTTTCAAACCGATGAACTGTATAATACTCTCACTGGATCCTTTGAAAATCAGAGTTTAGCACTTTCCGTATGACGACAATAAGTTTCCGTAATAGCACAGCGCATATTTCATTATACCAGTTTTATTACTTAATTTATTTAGTTAATTAATCGAATTATTTATTAGTCAGTCTTGTATTTTATTGTATTATGTGTCAAATCATATAAGGGTGTGTATTGTGCTGTAAATTGTCAACGGAATAAACAGTATTTTTTTCTTGTTTCTTTTTTACTATCATCACCTACCATTTTGTTCCTATGGATCCTCTAAGTGATTGAACGTCAATTGGAATTTTTACTTTGCTTTACGTTGCAATCGGATATAGTACTACAAGAAAAAAGTCATTTATAGTGCGAGGAGGTATATTTATGTTGGTGAATAATATTTGTTAATGAGTGTTATAACGGCTTACACATGGCACTGTATCATAGCTTATTTACACGTGAAAGTTATTTTATAAACTTAAATGATAGGTTTAAGTATATTTTTTATTTATTTCTATACTATAAGTAAACACTGTTTATTAACTTTTTTTTTTGGCAATTTGGCATATTATTGTATTTTTGTTATTGAATTGTAAAACGATATACAGTAATATTTTTGTAGTAATATATAAATTCAAAATTACTATTAGCCAAATTTCAAATGTATGTATAAGTTACGTGGTAAAATAATTTGCACTCACTATTCCCACAAAATTACGATCGCTAAATGATATATGTACGATCTAGTTATTCACGAATTAGGATTTGTGCCGCACATACGTGTTACGCCGTACGTTTATCATCATCATTATAATCATCAGTCGAACCACGGGCCTCTCTATTAAAATGCCACCCTGTATGGTCGTGCGACCTTCTCCGGGGTCTCAGACCACCCAATGAGGGTGTTGTCCTAGTTTGCGTCTGTCAGGTAATCCACTCATAAATCATAAGTATCATATAAAATCACTTTACCAAGTAGACAGAGGTCGTAAATTTTATCGCCATTATATTCCCCCGATTACTTATTTCTGGCATATCGATTATATTATGTGTATTGTGTTGTGTTAGTTCAGTGCCGGGTAATATTTTATATGCTTGTTCCAATATAGTTTTAATAAATGGCAGCTGTATCGATTTTTTTCACGGTATTCTTAGTTATTTGTAGATATTTTCGAATTAGCTATACTTTAGTTAACTGCCTCAGTGACCGAACGGTTACCATGCCGGACTGCGTCGCAGAGGTCCCAGGTTCGATTCCCGGGCCGGGAGAAATATTTGTACGGCCCACATTTATTTCTCTCGTGGGTTTGGGTATAATTGTGGTTGTCTATGTGTGTGTCCATAGCACGCGCGACACAGGGTTTCCCTAGTGCGGGGCTATACTAAGTGTGTGCGTTATTATTATTTAGTACGGGTTTTTTTAGAGATGCAAGCATAGGCATATAGTTTCAAGCGAAACTTGATTGTTTTCAATATATTTATGTATAATTGCGTTATATTTTTATTTAGTTCTACATTTATATGGCCATGCTTTTTAGTGAGAACTCTTAACAACATTTTATGCTGTTTTTATATTGTAAAAGCTCGATGTATTACAAAAAAATACTTCTTTTCCCTTTTTGCTTTACCTAAAAATTGCTTGAAATAAATATTTTCCCATCATTAGGTTACCCGTAATATTTCATTTCTGTTTCGCTTATTTGACCTGTACATGTTGTTATGGTGAAAATCTTGGGACAGAATATATAATTGAATGTATAGTTAATTTAGATACTTAATACGAATAATCGAGTCTTTTATTTGTTTTGTTGTTTGAAATTAAAAACAAATATCGCAATCACATTTAGCGGAAAACGTCGTAAATATGTCACTTTTCTTGTTTAGTTTTGGCGGGACCCTCGTATTTGCCTTTCTGAATAAGCAATGTGACATGTGGGCAGAGGTACGAGTTGTGTTTAAACTGGAAATTTTGCGCGGTGCTCTTTCTATAATCGTAGTCATGCCTGCTTACCAGTTCAGCATGAATTATATTTAGGAAAATAAGGATTCTTATGATACGGATATAGACTTGCAACGATTGGCTATGATCGTAGTGTACTTTATTTTGACTGCCTGCCTCCGTGGTCGAACGGTGACCATGCCGGACTGCCACGCAGAGGTCCCATGTTCGATTCCGGGCCAGGAGAAATATTTGTATAGCCTACATTTATTTCTCTCGTGAGTTTGGGTGTAATTTATGGTTGTCTATGTGTGTGTCCATGGCTCCAGCGACACAGGGTTACTCTAGTGTGGGACTATATTGAGTGTGTGCGTTATTAAATTCAAATTGACTTTGACTTTGACTTTGAAATAATCTTTATTTCCTAGGTAAGCAAATTAAAACTCTACTGCTCATTCGTAAGGCATATTTCCCTGAGAAGAATGAACAAGACTTGATTGAGACTACCTGCAAGGGCTAAACGGACCACGGATTTTTGTCATCCAAGTATGCAGAAGCTGTATAAACTTTTTGTTTCTATATAGTTTTGAACCGAGGAAGTGGAAAATTTTGAATATCGACCGGAATCTTATTATAGAATTGTGTACCTACATTGCCCCTTAAATGAATTTGTGACTTTGTGAAGACCACAGACCAAATAAACTAATTACTTCCGTAGTGAAGACCACTGTCAAGAGCAGCGAGTTTATTTTTATTCCTCGTATTAATTCTTCTCCTTTGTTGTTTCTGATGAGAATACTGCTGTCCGTTAACTAAAACGCGGCGAAGTGACAAAATAATTTATTGAGATATCATAAAAGAACCATAACCCAGTTTCAGAATATTGAAATTGTTTAATGATATCGAGTTCTTAGGTTT